GAGGTCTCAAAGCAGGTGTAGAAGGTGTTGAGGTCATCTGGCAGGCTGTCTGTGGAGCTGATGATGCTGGTGGTGGTTCTGTAGTCTGTGATGTGCTGCAGTCCTTGTCACATTCGTCCGGAGTCAGCAGTAGAATAGGTACTACAGGTATTATTACCTGAGCGAGTGATGATGAACTAACAGGGAAGTTTCTGAAGTCCTGAAAGTTTTTAATTTTGATCTGGTGTTAGAAGATAGTAACCAACGTGCACACAATAATTTCTGCAATCTATCTACAAAAGTCATCTTTGAGGACTCTGGGGACTCCATGATGTAACACTCTGCAAAATGTATACCTTTACTTTGATAGTTTAAGTACATTTTGCTGGTAATACTTGTGGTGTACTTTTACTCAAGCAGAAAGGACCTGTTTGTATGTTGACAGTCTGGTATTGGTACTTTTACTTCTCCCACCACTGACATTTACAAAAATAAAACCACAATTAGTCTGTTCCTTTGCAAACAAAACAACTAATAAGTTATTTTTGTAACTGAGTTCCCTGTGTTCTGTTTTATCTGATTACATTTACATGGTTATCATTTGTTAGTGTTTTAAGGCAAAAAATATAAAAAGGCCTTGTACTGCAGTGATATTGGGATAATACTGAAAATATCTGTGGAATATTGTAGCTTCTTTACTGGAGCAACTTATGATGATTTAAGTAGTACTTGCTTACAACTGGTACTTTAGATGTGGTTTTCTACTGTGGTCTTTATTTTTAGTCAAGAGTTCCAACATGTTTTCCTTCACTGTTGCAAACAAACTTTAGTAAGAAATCATTATGGCGGAGCGGCAGCGAGCTGCAACAGCTCTTCCTCTTTTGTGTTTATTTTCGTGTTTCCTTGGGCTTCTGTGTTTCCTTTTTTTGCTACGTCTCTTTTCCGTAAACATTTGTGGAGTTGGGCTACCAGGGATGCAACTTTTATTGCATTTGCATTGTGTTTTGTACTTTTTTATGAGCCTTTGAGTCTGCCTCGGGGGACCCTTGTGTCGCGGTCCTGACTGTTTGCTCTGCTTGCCAACAGTCGGCTTCCTTGTTGTGAGTTGCTGGGGATTCCCACGGGGATGCGACGAGAGGGGCAAGCAGAACTGGAGCAAAGCGCTGGAAGAGGAGCTGGAATGAGGCGCTGGGGGACAAGATGGACATGCTGGCCGCGCTGGTGGAGCTGCAGCGGGGTGTAGAGGAGGAGAGGTCCTGCACGCACTTCACCGGGACTCCAGGATCTGTGGTCTGTGGTGACAGTTCTCCACTGTTTCCCAGGCCGGCTCTGCTGTTGCATGCAGGCACATGGTGTCTCGGTAGACACAGCACCCGCAGGCCCTAATCCTTATCTCGGGGACCTCGACCATGCCATGCCTCCCTCTCCCTCTCTGCCACCCTCCTACACAAAGAACAATAAAACTCTGGACCATACCATATGCTAATGCTAGGAATGCGTACACTTCCCCCCCTCACCCTCTGACCACAGACTGCCCTGTCTGCGATTTGAGTGAGAGCGATATCTGTTCCTGACTTTCTCTGAAATGCTTGTACTGTCTTGTTTTTTGGGTATTCTTGATTTGTTTTTTGAGACGCACCACATACACCCAACCTGCTTTGCTACATAAAATGAACATTATGTTTACAATGACACTGAGTGGGATCAATAATGTTCTACCCTACCTACTCCTTACTGCTTTAGAGTATTGCCATTTAACATTTTCTTTTATGGCTAAAAAAACACTCGCGGGCCCCGTCAGGTCTTTTACTCTCATTGCATTTCCCTTGCATCTTTTCCTTGTGTCTTAATCCTGCCCACATAAGATGTGAGGAAAAGATGCAAGGAGAGAGGATTTAAAGAAACATGTTTTAAAGGCATGACACATCCTTTCCTCTGACTATTCATCTGAAGTGTCCAATCGCCAACTGATTTCTGATACAGGTGTGTGGGTCCATAAAAATGTCACAAAGCACCAAAACAATGCATGTTATATCACCAGATTTTAGCAGAGCTTTCATAACTGTCCCATCTTAATTTCCTGGTTAACCCAAACCACAGCATTACAGAGACGAAAGCATGTGATTTTTAATTTGGCCAGTGTAAAGTGTATTTAAATTTGATTGTATTTACATCTATTAAAAATGTATTATAAAAATGGTATATGGTATGCATCTCTGCATTTAAAACTGGATAGTTTTGCAGACATCTAAACTTTAGGTATTTTCAATCTTACATGTCACTTGCTAAGTTTGCTTAACACCAGTAACACTGAAACAATGTTTGTCAAAGTCCTTTAATCTTGATTTACCTATTTTAATTCACCCACTCCATTGATAGAAGCTTGATAAACAATGTAGCACACTAAATTAGTCACAACTGGCTTTATTTGCACAACATAAATTAAAAATTAACTACAACAATTTCCTTTTTTGAGACATGATGGAGTTGTGGACATTATTCTTTAAATCTTTCCAGTTGTGACTGCCCAGTGCTGGTTCTGCTTCAAGCCACTGAGAGCAGTGTGTCAAAAACCATGTTGTCCTACTCTCATGTCCCTGTTGATGAAAACCGGTATTCAGACCCGGCCCCTGATTGTACTGATCCTGATTCAGATGCAGACTTTCAAGGTGTTGATGATGCTCAGGTGTAAGTGATCTCTGTTCCCTCCTGCTCTTTGTGTCAATGTCTAGTACGATGCAGTTTGAGTCTTTGTGAATTTCTGTATCTGATGTCCTGCCAGGTTTCTGTAAATACTAAGGAAAAGGAAAGTGTGATGGAGAATGGAGTTATGTGCTTTTGTTCTTCTTATGCAGCGTTTTTGTGTTTCTCAGGCTCAAACCTATGTCTCTGCGTAGCTGCTGTAGAAACACTGTATGCATCCAGGTACACTCTGGTCTGGGCCAAGGGTGAATTGGTGTTTGTCACATTCCTGCACGTTATCAGTCCCTATAAACCCTTCCCACACAAACTGCTCTTTGTCACTCAGTCTGCAGACTGCATGACCTTCTCTATGACTGACTGATATTTTGTGCAAGAAATAAAACACATAAAAGCAACTTGGTTGTTTACTCTTTCTTTCTCCAGACTCACTTTAGCATTTCCTCCACAGGCCCTGGGCCGTCCTGCTGCCACTGAGAATATGTAACTGTTCTGGTGGTTTCTAGTCAACAGGACAACCTTCACTTGGGCCCATGTCTGTGAGATTATTGGACTTTGATTTGATTTGATTTAGATTTGATTTATTCTTTCAAGCATGTAAAGACAGTTGATATGTCAACACACATAATTTTACACATATCCAACAAATGCTAATCCAATGGCCTCGGATTTGGAGGTGCTGATTCTCATCCCAGCCGCTTCACACTCGGCTGCAAACCGCTCCAGTGCACACTGGAGGTCCTGGTTTGATGTATAGTTGCTTTCGCCAACGAAAACTATGACTAAATATCACCATCAACAAACCTTTATCGCGTGACAAAAACGAGACGAGAAACAACGAATATGCTGGTCGTGTGGCGATGACTATAATTAAATGTATAATGCAATATTGTTGACAAGAAAACGAGACTAAATGTGGTTCACAAAATAAAAACTATGCCAAAATGTCTCTTTATTTTCATTGACCAAAACGAAATGAAATGAAATGTTATGTTATTTCGTCTCGTTCAGTCATGTTATTATTATTATTTTGCAGTATTTCTGTTTCCTGTATCTCGCTTCAGGGGCCGCATCAACCCGCACTGCGCAGACGCAGGAGACGTCACGTCCTTACGCCCCACTCGCGGCATTATTTAGAAGACGACAACAAACAAAGTTAAGTCTGACACAGAGACAGAGACTGATGGCTGGCCAGCCGGGGTTCGTCTTTTGGAGGAGCCCCATGGGTTTGTAGCGGAAAGGGCAGAAGGTGGCTAATGTGTATGTAGCAGTAGAGGGACACGGTTTCTTACCGTGTCCCGTGTTGTACTATAAAGTCGATAAAAACGTAAGACGAGCCCTTCGAAGTGGAATGAATATATACAGTACCAACGGCACGTGTAAGCCGCCTCT